AGACAGGGATGTGAAAACAATTACAACTATATTCTATGTGTTTCAGAAATTACATGCAGATGTGTAAGATATACAAGAAATGTGCAAACTGAACTTGTACAGATATAAACTACGAAGTCTGAGGTGAAAAAAACACATTGGATGAAATCAACGGCAGATTAAATATTGCAGGAGAAAATATTAGAAGGATGCAGGGAAATGGGACACATTTTTATGCAGACAGAACAAAGAGAGGATTGCCAGTAGGCTCTGAGACCACGGGAGCCAGGCAGGCCCTGAAACTTTGTAGCACTGAAAGAAAAAGCACCTGTCAACCCAGACCTCTACACCCTGCAAAAATGTCTCCCCAAACAAAGTTGAAATAGTGACTTTTTCAGACATACAAAAAACTGCAAGAATTTATCACCAGTAGATTGGTGCTGTAACAAATACTGAAGAGAGTCCTTTGGATAGAAGGGAAATGACACCAGATGGAAATATGGATTCACACAAAGGAATAGAGACCATCAGAAATGGGAACTATATGGATAAATACAGCTTTTTTTTTCCTTTTACTCAAATCCCTTTAAAATACTTCTGTCTAAATAAACAAAAATAACCTTGTGCTGTAAGATTTATAACATACGTGTGTAAGGCCAGGAGGGAGAAATGGCAGTATGCTTATATTGCTTGTGAAGTGGATTAACATCATTTGAAGGTAGACCGTAACCAGCTTAAAAACCCCATCAACTCTAAAGCAACATTCAATATAAAAAACCAAAGAGCTATAACTAATAAGTCAAGAACGGAAATAAAATGGAATACAATAATTTTAAAAACTCAGTTCAAAAGAAAGCCACAAAAAAAGGGAAAAAAGATATAAAGAAAAATAGGAAAAACAAAAAATAGTGAGTTATAGACTCACTTCAAGTTTGAAAATCAACCAATCTAATTCATCAAATTAATGAACTAAGAAAGAAAAAGCATCTGATCATTTCAATAGACACAGGAAAAAAATTTAACAAAATTCAACACTGATTCCTAATAAAAACCAATAAAAATGCTCAGCACACTGACAATAGATCGGGATGGAAGTGAATCTATGAAAAACCTACAGGTAACATTATAATGTTAGTTATAACTAACGGTCAAGGAATTATGTTCCCTTTACTATCAGGAACAAAACAAGGATGTCTGCTCTCCTAACACTTCTATTCAATAGTGTGCTGGAGGTTCAAACCAGTGGAACAAGGCAACAAAAAGGAACAAAAGACATCTAGATTGGAGAAGAAGAAAAAGTAAAACATCTTTTTTTTTTTTTTTACAAATAACGTGGTAATCTGTATAAAATATATTGAAATCTACAAAATGGTTACTAGAACTAGTTGGTAAATTTGGTAAAAATGCAGATGCAAGATCAATATAAAAATTTTTAAAAAATTCTATACATAGCAATAATCAGAAATTGAAGGAAAAAGACCATTTAAAGTGGCATGAAAGTAAAAAATACTTAGGGTCAGTTTGACAAAAGATGTGCAAGACCCGCATGCTGAAAAGTACAAACCGCTGATGAGACAAATTAAAGAAATCTTAAATAAATGAAGAGGTATAACTTGTTTATGAGGCATAAGACTCACTACTGTCAAGATGTCAATGATTCCCCCCAATTGATTTGATGCAATCCTGACCAAAATCCCAGTAGGCTTTTTTTTTTCTTCTATAATTCACATGCTGATTCCAAATTTCATATGGAAATTTAAGGGACCTAGAATAGCTAATACAACTTTGAAAAACAAGAACGAAGTTGGCAGGACACTGGGGCAGCTCAGTGGTTGAGCACCTGTCTTTAGCTCAGGGCGTGATCCCAGGATCCAGAATCGAGTCCCACATCGGGCTCCTTGCGGGGAGCCTGCTTCTCCCTCTGCCTGTGTCTCTGCCTCTCTCTCTCTCTCTGTATCTCTCATGAATAGCTAAATAAAATCTTTTTTTTTTTAAAAAAAGAACAAAGTTGGAGGTTAACATTACCTGATTTCAAGATTTGTTCTAAAGTCATGATAATTGTAACAGGTGGGGTAGGACGTCAAGACAGACGATATATAGCTCAATGGAACCAAGTCCACAAGTCGACCCACACATATATGACGACTGATTTTTGCAAAGGCAATTCAGGGGAGAAAGGATAGTCTTTTAATAACAGTACTGAAATCAACACACAGATTCAGTTCAGAAAAATGAACTTTGGGGATCCCTGGGTGGCACAGCGATTTAGCACCTGCCTTTGGCCCAGGGCGTGATCCTGGAGACCCGGGATCGAATCCCACGTCAGGCTCCTGGTGCATGGAGCCTGCTTCTCCCTCTCCCTCTCCCTCTCCCTCTGCCTATGTCTCTGCCTCTCTCTCTCTCTCTCTCTCTCTGTGTGTGTGTGTGTGACTATCATAAATAAATAAAAATTAAAAAAAAAAGAAAAATGAACTTCAATCAATGCTTAGTGAGCACATGCAAGAAGGAAGTCAAGATAAACCAGAGACCAAAATATAAACTCTGACACCTATAACATGTCTAAAGGAAGCACAGGAAAAGAAAATCTTTGTGACCTTGGATCAGGCTAAGACTTCTTAGATAAAATATCAGAAGTATGATCCACAAAGAACAAATGGTTAAACTGGAATTTATCAAAATGTCAAATGTTTGCTCTTTAAAAGACACTTTTATGAGAGTGGGAACACAGACGAATTAAGGAGGCAATGTCTGCAGAGCATGTACCTACCTATAAGGGACTTGTACTCAGTATACATAAAGCACTCCCCAAAGGCTATACCGTAAGAAGACAAATACCTACTTAAAAAAAAATAGTTAATGGTTGGGACAGACACTTCACAGAAATAATGGACGTCAAACAACCCACATGAGAAGATGCTCAGCGTCACTCAGCTTTACGGAAATGCGAACTCAACCACAGTGAAATACCATCCTGTGCCCATCTTAGTGGCAAAAATTCCCGCAGCCAATACCACCAAGTGTTGGGGAGGACGCAGAAGGCAATCCCCGCGCACGGCTGGTGGGCGTGTGAAATGGCACAACCGCTTTGGAAAAAAGTTTGACATTCACTTTAGTGCACCATGAAATCCAGCTACTTGGCTGCGTAAGGTCCTGTACCCAGGAGAGAAGGAGGCCTGGGTCCGTACAAAGACTTGTGCGGGAATGCTCTCAGCAGCCTTACGCACTAATAACCAAAAGCTGGAAATGACCCTGTGTCCTTCCAGGGGTGAATGGAGGGACGCCCTGTGGCGCAATCAGAGCACAGAATACTAGTCAGCAATAATAATAATAATAATAATAATGATAATAATAAAAGGCACTAACTCTTCACGCGTGCACCACGACCTGGGCGAGTCTCAGGATACCTAATGCTGAGAGAGAGAAGCCCACCAACCAAAAAGAGCACATGTAGTATGATGTTAACTGTCTAGAATGTTTAACCACTCAGAGCGACAGGACGCAGATCAGTGTCTGCCTGGGAGGGGGACTGGACAGCCCGGAGGAAGAGAGGAAGGGGCACAAGGAAACTTTTGGGGTGATGGACAGACACATCCAGCGGCTGGACTGTAGTGATGACATCATGGGTATGCCCCTGTGTCGAAATTTATCAAATCACACGCCCTACATAATACGCGTAGTCGACTGTGGGCACAGACCTTGCTAAAGCTGTTCAGAAAAAAAAAAAAAAAAAACCAAAAGACCGTGCAATAATCTGAGCTTGCAAGCCAGACAAAATATCCACATCATCCCTTAGAGGGTGGAATCCTGAACCTACAAACGGATTCACCTGAAGACTCCTTTGGTTGCTTCCGCCCCGTTAGATATGACTCCGTTTACAAAACGGCACATCAGGGAGGCGACCTTGCAAGGGGAGCGCGAACCACATGGGACACTGACAGAGACAGGACGGCCAGTCCCAGGGGGCCCTGCCATGCACGGGGAGAGGAGCTCCAGGCCCTGCCTCACTGGCCCCTCCCGCCAGTGAGCGGAGCCAGAGCTGCCCTCCCCACGAACCGGGTTCCGGCACAGAGCTAGCTCCCTAGCCATTTGGCCAATGCCTACTTTTGAGGCGGGGGCGTGCTTGGGGGCAGGAGCAGTACAGAAGAGATCACCAAAGTAGAACTGCCAAGGAGGACGTTAGACTCTGCCACCTGACAGCCTCGCTTTGCATTTCTCAGCTGTGGAAAATGCTCAGCAGTCGTTGTGCACAAGGCCTGAGACCCAGGAGCCCGCGAGAAGAAGCCAGCGGGGGGGCCCCGGGGTCACAAACACGCGGCAGGCTGCACTTTCTAATGTGTTCACAACAGATACACGTTACTTCCATGATAGAATTCTCCCCCAAAGTAAAATTTTGCAACTGAATTTGCAGAGGAGATCGGCGGCCGGCGGATGAGGGACGCTGGGCTGCAAGGAGCATGCGGGTTGAGGGCTGGGGTCAGGAGTGTCACTGCCTCCCCTCCCATCCCGTGAGGGTCACCACTGGGACCTGAGCTGATTCTGCAGCCCTGGCCCCCAGTAGACCAGGCTGGGGGTGGGGTGGGGACACGAATCACCCCAGGTTCTGAAGGCCTCATGGTCGGGGGGATGCACACCTGTGCACTGAGAACCCAGGGTGGGGTTGGGGTGGGGGGACTGCTTCTCTGGCCTCTGGGAGTCGTTGAGCTATGTCGCCCATCAACACACTCCTGCCCTCTCATTCCCCTTCTGGCTCCTCTGGCCCCCTCCTTCCCAGCATGGGCCGGTGCTTTGGAGGACGAGAGAGAGGACACGTCACCAGTCACCATCCTCAGGTGCTAACCCAGCCAAACCCTCCATTCTCCGCCCCCAAGTCCCACCCCCTCCCACGAACGTGGGGGGAAGCCCCAGAAACCCCCAGCACTCATCGTCAGCAGCTCCCAAGATGCTCAACATGCTCACATCTGTCAAAAACTATTCGGGGGACGGGGGGGGGTGTGTGGAATAAAAAGAGAAAGTCTTTATACCTTTTATTCAGCCAATTTTTCCCGAGGCACTGTGGGCTCTCTAAGAAAAGAAGGAGAGAGAGGAGAGAATTACAATCAGGGATGCCACCGCGCATCTGGTTGCTCGCTCGCTGCCTAGTCAGGTGCGCAGGAGGAGGGAGCCAGGGACCCGCCCCGGAGAAGCCCCTGCGCTGGCGGCCTCTGCAGCGACGCTGGGAGCCCACGTTCCGTTTAACAGACAAAGGAACACAGAACGCCGCGGGCCTGCGCTCCAGATTTTCCTAACGCGTCTTCTCTGCAACTCGGGGGATATCCTGTGTTCCCTCTCTCTCCTTCCTTGGCCCCAGACTCTGAGTGGCCCCTCCCCGCTTCCTCCCCACCCCACCCCTCCCCACCCCACCCCACCCCACCCCACCCCCTTTGTGGGTTTGGAGGTTACCCACAAAGGCAGACTCTGCCGACTGGATGGCGGGTGGTATCCAATCCCAAACTGGGCCCTGCCCTGCCCCGCTGTGTGGATTTTTTTTCCCCGCCTCCCAGGTGTCCCTCCATGTGGGGTCATGGCATGTAGATCTAGCTTAATATTAGTCAAAGCTTAACACGAAGAAAAGCGGACGGGCTGCTGCTGCTTCAAGAGAAGTAAGAGAATTCTAAATCCCACAAACACATGATTTCAGAAGCAACTGGATGTCGCCTGGAGTTGTGTGCGGCTTCCAGGAGCTTCCGTCAGTAGGAGGGGCTCAGAGCCCCAGGGCAGCAGGGCCTGGGCACTTGCTCATCGGACGGTCCAGGGACCTGGGGCCAGAGAGACCAAGGCACTTGCCTGAAGTCAGGAAGCCGAGCCGGGGCTTGGGGACGGCACATGTGTGTCTGGCCCCCTGATCCTGCCCTTTCCTCAGAGGGGCTTTCAGGGACTAGAAAAGAGAGGTGTAGTGCGTGTGGGCGTCATCTGCTTTTCCTGAACTTAAATTTTCCTTGCTTATGTTAATAACGTTTCAGAATTTTTCAAAGATTTTTATCTGTAAGTCATCTCTACACCCAACCTGCGGCTCGAACTCACAACCCCGAGATCAAGAGTCGCACCCTCCGCGGACTGCGCCCGCCAGGCCTCCCCTAAGGTTTCATAATTTTAAGTGCACATATTGTGCACCACTTTTCAGACTGTGGCAAAGTACTTCTACAATTTACTGTCTCAATCGTTGTCAAGTATACAATTTGGTGGCGTTAAGTCCATTCACACTGCTGTGCAACCACTATCTGGTTCTAGAACCTTCCATCACCCCCAAAGAAAACTGCACTCTTGTTAAGCAGCCCCTCCCTCTCTCCCCACTGTGTGCGTGCGTGTGTGTCCGTGTGTGCGTGTGTGCGTGTGCGTGTGCTTCCAACGAAAAGCCTCTGGAATCCGAAGACAATCAGACTGGGCCTCTCTCTTGAGATGGAGAAACACCACGGTCATCACTGTCATCCACGTCACGATAAAGAGCAGGTCGCTGCAGTCACGTGCTTGGCACATCTTATGCACCAGGCACTTGACAACTAACGGTTGCCTCTTCCAGCCCTCGTAACCCTGAGGAGGACGCGCTAACTGTTCTGTCCCCCATTTTCAGATGACAAAACGTGCCGATGGGCTAAGCAGTGGTGCCCCCAGTGGCGGGGACAGCTGGTTTCCCCTGGCAGGTCCCTGGGGGGCCCCCCTGCACTCCTTGTCACCCCCGGGTGGACGGCGCCCTTCTCAGTGGGAAAGGAGCATTTGACGGCACAGAGCCTGCTGGTGGAGTTTGTGCGAACCCCGGTGGCTGCATCTCCTGCACAACCTCCCCCTATCACCCACCCCGCGCACCCCTCCCGCTCCCCTGCCCCCCACCGGGTCCCCAGGGCTGCCGCAGAGCCGCCGATCCGTCCACCCCACACGGTGGGGAGGCCTCATCCAGGCGGACCCGAGTGTCGATCAGCATCTTCCCTCTCCTGCAAAACAGCTCGTTTCCACGGGAGTGGACGGGAGCGGAAGGCCCCGCCAGATGAAGGCGGCGGCGTCACAAAATGAGATGGATTGAATCAATCAGCTCGCATCAATTGCCGCCTTCAGTTGATTTGGGGGTTTTCTTATTGTTGACTTTTTTCTTGGTTTCTTAAAGTGAGTTTTCCTCCCGATTCAATTCAATTTAGTTCCATTTAATTCAGTCCCTCCAGCCCCGGTGAGCAAGCCGCCCAGAGCGCGGGTCGGGGCCGAGTGCTGGGCTGGGGAGCTGGGTGAGAGGGGTCTGCTCCTCGGCCCGCGCGGCCCTGTCGGGCTGGTCTGAGGGTTTGGGGTAGAGCACTGCTCCTTCCCGCCCCGCGGCCCTCCCACCTGACGGCTCCCACGTCCGCCCCGCAGCATCCTCTACGCCCCAGGCTCCGAGCCCAACCTGCAGGCCTCCTCTGGGTGCCGGGGACGCCTGGCTCTGGAACACCCCACCAGGCAACGTCAGCGCAGGTCGGGGGCTGGTGGGGCACCCCCCTCCCCACCCGCCTGCCTCGACCCCCAGGCACCCCTAACAGCCTCCGAGTTCTCCGAAATGTCTTTCATTGTCACGAGGGTCCTCGTTTGGTCAATGCAAAAATATCCAGTATGAACACCGGTGTTAACACCTGCTTGGTCCCTGGCTCAGAGGCTGGGAGCCACGTCCATCTCCAAAGAGCCTCTGGGTCTTGAAAAATCCAGAACTGGAGGGATGGTTGGAGGTTCCTGCTGAGCCGAACGCCTCCACCATCCGTGGCGCATGATGGTCCTCCCCCCGGACCCGCCCTGTCCTCTGCAGTGGTACACGAGCTCCAGCGTCACGAAAGGAAAGGGGCTCGTTGTGTGGAAAGGAAGCAGCTCCCATTGGCACCCACTCCAGCTGTGGCCCAGCGACCCTTCAGATGTGAGCCAGACAAGGACGGGCCGACCTGGACCTGCCTGACTTGCCTTCTGGGATGAAGAGTGGCTTCCCCACCCCTGTTCTGCTCCATCCTGTCGCCCACCCTACCCCACGGCCCATGCTGGGAGCGAGGGACCCAGAGGGGAGGAAGGCGCCTGGAGCCCTTGCTGATGACACCCGAGGGCAAGCTCCCGGGGTGGGAAACGTGGAGCTGATTCTCAGCCTCTCTGTTAGCAAACACGGCTCTCCGCCTCTCAGCAGGATAATCAATTATGGTGATTTTTGCCTGGATGATCAGGTTCCTAGAGGGCCACAGCTCATTAGGCCAGGGGTGCTGACTGCCCCGAGTGCGCTTGCGTCAAGACCCTTCAGAGACGGCCAAGCAGAGCAAGAGACGTGACCCAGCTCAGAGGGCCTTCCCTCGGCCGCCCCCATCACCGTGGCCCCCGGACAACGTCTGTGGAGCCACGAGACAACCGAGACTCCTCCCCAGGGAGCCTTGGTGGACTCAGACGTGTGCGGATTGGGGCTGCTCTCCGCCGGCGGGGGTGGGAACTCCTGCTGCCCAGCGCGGCGCCTCCGCCCTTGACTGCGAGCCCCACAGGGGACGGGGTGCACGTGTGCTCAACGAATGACTGAATAAACGGATGGATGGACGGATGAGCGAGCCAGCCAGTCAGCATCTGCCTCCAGGGACCCGACCCCACGACTCTACTGAAGCGATGGGGTCCTCCTAGAGTGGTCTTTGCTCCCGGGGGGTCCCCCCTGTGGATGAGACTCACCCACCCACGGAGACCCTTCCCCCGTCTCTCTGCCCACGTGGCTCTGCTTTACCCGCCCCCGCCCGTGCCCACACCGGCTCCCAGCGCGCAGCTGACCCGCGGCCTCGGCCTGGTCCCCCGCACGCTGACCCCTCTCTGGCAAAGCTCCTCCTCAGGAGCACTTGTTCCCTTGTTCCTCTCTCTAGTCAACCCCAGCCAGGTAACACCGGTGACCCCTGTGACCCCGCTTCCTTCCGTTCACAAAACGTTTTGCTCTTTCAGAAATGAACCCACTGCCGGCTTGTATCGTCCTTATGACAACAGCGACTCGTGTCCTGCCCCCGAGCGAGGCCGGTTTTCAGTGTGGTTCACGCCAAACAATCTGCCGGAAAACCTCCCCGAGGGTTGCGGCGCAGACCCCTTGGCTCTCGTGCGGCTCCTCATGGGCTGCCGCCACCGCATCCGGGACGCCCCACTTCCCGCCCCGGCAGGGATGGGGGACGCGGAGAGAGCAGAGCACGACCTCCTGGCGGGCTGGGACTCCCGCTGGCCCAAGCGCTTCCCTCCTCACCACCTTGGGTCTTATTCACTGAGTAGCTATGATGGGCCAGACGCTGAGGCTGCGTCGCCAAGCCGGCACAGTCCCACGGGGTAGGCAGTAACGTCCCTGACATCCCGGTGAGAGAAGGGGGGCCCTCACACGTCCAGCCTGGGTTCAGCCCCCCGCGGTCCCGGGGAGCGGTGTTTGGACACCCATCCTGTGCGCCTTCTTAGCTCCGCCGGCAAGAAGAGGGCAAGAAGAGACGAGTCAGCACAGGTGCCGTCGCTCCTCGCAGACGCTCAAGGGGACCACACACCCATTTTTGCAGGAGGAGGCTTAGGAGAGGGAGTCTTCCTGCGAAGACACAGGGTCTTCATGTGCTTGGCCGTCGTAACGAGAGGCCCCAGCCTGGCAGGCCTGAACGGGTGCTGGGGGCAGGGGGTCCAACGTCAGGGTGCCAGCAGATTGGGGTCCCGGCAAGAGCCTGCTTCCTGCCTTCCTGCTGATCTCATGCGGCGGGCGCCGAGCAACAAGGACGGGTGTCTCCTCTGACAAGGACCCTATTCCATCATGAGGTCCCACCCTCACGACCTCAGCTCACCCTGGTCACCTGCCAAAGGCCCCCAACTCCCTCACAGTGGAGAGGCAGGATGTCACCCTGCACGTTCGGAGCCCACACTCAGTCCGCAGCACTCAGAGGGCCAGTGCCCACCCTTTGCTTTGCTCCTTCTGCGTCTCCCCACGGGAGCCGTGACGCACCGGCTCTCGGGGACAGTCGGAGCAGATTTCTTTGGCATTGAACACATTGCTGCAGTGCGGCCTCCGGTGCCAGGAAGGGCCTTGGGGGCCCCTGCCCACC